GAAGTTTCTCAGTGTAGTATTTCTCTGTGAAGTTCGACACCTCCTCTAGAATATATGCCTCTGCAATGGAAGCCTCAATTTTAGCTTTATTTCTACATTTTTGCGAAGAGTCTTCAGACGTCTCTCGATTGGATAGCACCAACGGTTCTGCACGGGCCCCCCATCCGTGCCTCATACGGGAGGTGCACAATCAAATGCTACATCGGCAAGAAGAAGCCGGGTGGAAAGATCTCCAACTTACAGAGCAACACGGGTGCCGCTTTTTCCAAGTCATCAATGATGGTCTGAGATAGCTCCTTGGCATAAAGTTAGCGGAATAAGTAGCTCAACTCTACCATCAATTGCCAGACATGCTCCGGGACATAGCCTCGAACCATCGCCGGAAGAAGCCGCTCAATCCATATGTGGTAGTCATGACTCTTCATCCCGTTTACTCGCAGAGTGTCTAAGTTCACTCCCATCTTTAGATTTACTGCATACCCATCAGGGAACATTAGCGTCTTGATCCATTCAAGTACTTCCCTCCTTTGGTCCCTTTTCAAGACAAAATCGGCCTTAGGCCTTCTCCAGGTCTTGCCACGACTAGGAGGCTGCATCTCTTGATTTGGTCTATCGCACAACGTTGCCAGGTCCACTCTAGCCTTAGGGTTGTCCTTAGACTTTTCAGTGTCCATGAGTGTTGCCCAAAGTGCCTCGGCGACATTCTTTTCAGTGTGCATTACATCAATGTTATGTGGCAGAAGAAGGTCATCGAAATAGGGGAGCCTTATTATGTCCGAGATATGAGCCCACATATGTTGCTCACCATATCCCACAAACCCACCTTCTTCATTGGGCATGAGAGCATCTATCTGAGCATGAACCTCGGCACCAGTCATCATCCGCGGTGCAGGGTTTGTCACTTTGACACCTTTCGTAAAGTTCTTGATGTCTTGTCTGAATGGATGGTCAAGAGGTAGGAATTGATGATGTCTGTCGAATGACGAATACTTGCCACCCTTCTGCAACCAAATGAACCTCACACCTCCCTTGCATATTGGGTATGGGAACTTCCCGTGAACACACCAGGCGCAGAATATCCCATACGCCAGGAAGTCATGCAGGGAGTAGTGATACCAAACGTGCATTTTGAAGGTTGTCTTTGTAGCTTGATTGTATGTCCATACCCCTTCGTCCCAAGCACGGACCAATTCATCAAACACGGGCTCCATGAACACACCCATATTACTCTCTGGGTGTCCAGGAATTATCAACGACAAGAATATGTTATGTCGTTGAAAGGAGACACCGGGGGGAGATTAAGGGGGATAACGAAGACGGGCCAACATGTGTATGGGGTAGCCATCATTCCATAAGGATTGAATCCATCTGTTGCTAGCGCGACACATACATTACGAGCCTCATCTGCTTTGTCACGATGTTTGTCATTAAAGCGGATCCAAGCTTCACCATCGTATGGATGTACCATCTTGTCAGGATTGTACCGTTTACCATTTTTGTGACATGTTATCTGTTTCGCGGATTCCTCGGTCATGTATAGCCGTTGGATCCTCGGTAGGAACAGAAGGTACCGTAGGATTTTCACGGGGATCGTAAGTTGCCTCTTCTGGTCATCATCAGAGTCTACCTCTAGGTACCTGGAGGATTTACACTTTGGACAGAACTTTGCATGCTCGTGTTCTTTCCTAAATAGGACGCACCCCTTCGGACAAGCATGTATCTGCTCATACGGCATCTTAAGTGCATGAAGGAGTTTCTGTGACTCGTACATGCTCTTTGGCAGAATGTGGCCCTCCGAAAGCAGGGTGCCAATCACGGCCAACATCTTATCAAAGCCAGGTCGACTCAAGTTTAACTCGGACTTCAACCCCTTTAAGCGTCCAATGGCATCCAGTTGAGACACCATTGACCGATCGTGAAGGGGTTTCTGTGCCGAGTCCATCATGTCGTAGAACGCATGTGCGGTTGCCTCCATCTCCTCCTTCTCACGTCCCTCATCGAACTGTCCTTGGTGAAACTCATCTAACATGTCTGCTACCCCGGCATCAGCATCAAAAGCCTCCACCCGTGGTCTCACCACCTCCTCTTTCATACGATGGGCTTCACCATGGTGGACCCACCGGGTGTAGTCCGGCGTAAATCCATTCTTCACAAGATGTTTATCCATTTTCACCTTGTTTATCCTTCTCCTGTTTCCACATTTACTGTAGGGACACAAAACTGGCAATGTCCTTTAGCAGCCTTGCCAAATGCACTGTTCAAGAAAGCATCGGTCTTGTTCATGATTTATAAGCATCGTACGTGACAACGTGCACCAAACCTTCTCAAATTTTTATCATAGCCTCCACATACGATATCACGACATCTCAACAAGTTTCATGATTTTCGGACTTCGTTAGCTTTTTATAGAATCTAAAAACACTTCGCACGTAAGTTCGTGGTCATGTTTCGTTAACAAGAAGTCTAAAATTTCGGGTCCGTTCCTGGATACGGCCTCACACTACACTCAATAACATGACTATCATTTTTTGAATCATTAAATTCCATTATTCGTACCACGTGCAGTTCAAATTTATATTTTTCGAAAAAATTCAAGTAAACGAAATAAAGTAACTAAATATATCAAAAATGCACAAAAAATCCCCAAATTCTAACTAGGAGTTCCTGGTACTTTAAAAAGGCTGCACAAAAAATTTGGAGACCAAAGACAAAAAAAAAAATTGCCAAGTGCCGGAGCATGGCACTCGACAAAGAGGGTCTTTGCCGAGTGCCAAGAATAAGGCACTCGGCAAAGAGGGTTTTGAATTTTTTTTAAAAAAAATTTCTCTTTGCCGAGTGCCTTCGCATGGGCACTCGGCAAAGACATTTCGAAAAAAAATTATTTGCCGAGCGCCGTGTCAGGGGCACTCGGCAAAGTATTTTCCAAAAAAAAAATCTTTGCCGAGTGCCAGATCTGGGACACTCGGCAAAGAATTTTTTTAAAAAAAACCTTCTTTGTCGAGTGCTAGGCCAGGTGGCACTCGGCAAAGAATTTTCCAAAAAAAAAATCTTTGCCGAGTGTCAGATCTGGGACACTCGGCAAAGAATTTTTTTTAAGAAAAACCTTCTTTGCCAAGTGCCTAACAGCAGGCACTCGGCAAAGAAGGACGTGGCCGAACACCGTTACGCGGGGCAGCCTATGCCGAGTGCCGCTCTTTTGCCGAGAGCCTGGCACTCGGCAAAGAAGTCGTTTGCCGAGAGCTTTTTTTTACCGAGTGCCCGGCACTCGGCAAAGAACTCTTTGCCGAGTGCAATTCTTTGCCGAGTGCGGCACTCGGCAAAGAAGGTCTTTGTCGAGTGCCCGATTTTTGACACTCGGCAAAGCAGTTTGCACTCGGCAAAGATCCCGTTTCCAGTAGTGATAGGAACCACATCGCTTAACTCCAGTGGGCCACTCAAACATGCTTTTCTTTTTTTAATCATGGAACAAAACATTCCAGCCTTCCCATTCAAAGTCTTGTGAATGTTTAGAGCTTAACAGTACAAGAAGGGAATTTAGCTTAGTTTTCTGCTAGCCGGATAGTCCAGACTCACGATAACCTAAGACCTTACATCAGAAGGCCATGAAATAAGGAAAGAGCATACCATTTTCCCTTGTATTTTTTCCAGCCATTTGATTGCTAGAAAGTAGAAACAATTCTTTTTTACCAGTGGGAATGCACAGTTATGTAACCAGCACACCACACTTCGGCCAAAGCAGGCTTTGCAATCAGTGGCAGATTCAGAGAATTTTCTTCATCTATATCATCATCTCAGTTTCTGCAACCACAACGTTGTTCAAAAGGTACAAAGGTCATCATGGCCATGGGGAGATAGAAAAAGAAAAAGGAATACCTAATTCCTTTCTTTGAGCGCACCTTTCTTAGAGTAGAGTAGAGAGGAGATTGCCGCTATTGTCTCTTTGTTAATTTATTTACAGTATAAGTTTTATTGGTCAACATGCTGTGTTGGTCAACAACTCAACATGGAATTCCTGGGCTACAGTATCATTCAGATAGGCTATAGATAGATCATCCACAAAGGAGAATCTTTGTCCAGCGTACGAAAAAGTTGTTGACTTGACTATCCACTGTAGCGGTACTCGTGGGTAGTATATTTTTTCACCATTTTTCGTAGTGTTCTTGGATAGTGATGCTGCTTCTGCTAAACCCAAAGGAAAATGAAAACGAAGGCAGCCCGAGTGCGCACTTAATTTTCAGAGACGAAAATTATTCCCATACATTATAGCTCATGCATGGATGTGTTTCTCAAGGATGTGGGATATATACAATAAATATTGATTACTGAAGACCTGAAAACCCCTATTATTTTATTTTTGTTAAAAGAAAATAGAAACCATTGTAATGAAAAAAAACGTGTGTTGAGAAGGACAGTAAAGTAACCAGCGAAACAAGAAAGAACAAGAATCAGCATAATTTATGCAGCACTTTGACACGACATGGGCTCCTGCTGGTAGCCAGGGAAAGACTCTATAACACAAATAGAAAAACAAGCATCACAAAACACAGACACACGCACCACGCTTGGCTTTGAACGTCATCAAGAGAGAAAGGATTCTGTGTCTCTGTTCAAGATCTGTGAGCGGATACGAGTGGAAATCAGATAGATGTAACCCCTTCTTGTCCACAGATTGCAATGAAATTGGCACTTTTTCGTGCTACTAGATCGTTCAAAGCACACAGAAAGGAGAAAAAAATACAAGATTTAACGAAATCTCATCGAACAACAACATCGTATATTGACGGAAACAAAACAACATCCTCAGCGTTACACTGGCATCAAACGGCTTTACTACAAGTGAGCATATCCAGTCCCTGGCTCCCCTGTGTCAGACAGACCGGGGACGGTGACTGAACCTGTAGGACTAGAACACCTACCAGACTACCAGTCCTGGCTACGAGTCTACGACGCCGCCAAGAGGCACCCGATGTCACTCACAATGGCAAGAGGGAGGATGGTTCTTACTCTGTGCTGAGCCAGAGCCACCCGATGATGTCGGCGCCGCCGAGGTCGCCGTCGGTACCGAGCCACAGCACGGCGCCCGCGAGCAGAGCCGCCGCCGTCGCTGCCAGCGCCGCGTTCGCGAGGCGGTCCAGGAAACGTCGACGCCGGGCCGCCGCAGCAGCACCGGTGGCCGCGTTCGCACCGCCGAGCGCGCGAACGTGGGCGAACAGGAGCAGCGACGTGAGGCCGAAGGTGGTCAGCACGGCCGGCAGCAAAGCGCCCGCGGCGAGCCGCGGGACGAAGGCACTCCTTGGAGTCTTGATCTTGGCGGCCTCTGAAAGGGCATCGAGGCACCAGAACACGGCTGCGTAGCCGAAGAGGATGGTGAGCGTCACGTGCGAAACCATGGCAGGGGAGTGGCGGTCGCTTCTCGTTTTGGATCGATGACGGGAGAAGAGGACGAAGAACTGAAGAAGAATAGGGAGATAGGAGTAGTTGCAGAGTGGGGATGTTTTTTGTTTGCATGTCCACTCGCGATGGCCAGATGGGGGCGCTCTGTATAGGAGAACGGACGGCCAGGATTTCACGATCGGGGGGCTTTCAAAGGAAAAGAAAAAATCTTGTGCCAATGCTGAGCCAAAGCTCCGAGGCATATCAGAAGTTCAGAACGCGCTTGTGAATGGAACCATTGATCCTCCAATGTGGCGGGGCGTCTGGCTGAGAAAAGTCGTGCCAGTTCTGAGTCCACGCCTTGGCCCCACAACCCACATTTTCCCCGGGTAAGTATATATAAGATATAAATATACAAAAAAAATAGTTCTTTCTTTTTTTTTGAAAACAGATGGAACTGCTTGCACGCAATTTGTGTGCTGCCTTCAGATAATGTTTTGATTCCACTTGTCTAATTCCCTCATCTAACTGTCTCATTTAGGGCAACGTATCAGGTGCAAACTAATCAACCTGTGCAAACTTGCAAACTACCAATTAAGACCACTAGATGCTGATCCAACGGATGTGTTAAAAGGTGGGATTTTTTTGCGCTTAAGGCCCCCACCTGCAGGCCTTTTTTTTTTGCGCTTAAGCCCCCCTCACCTTATCCATTGGATCAACATCTAGTGACCCTGATTGGTAGTTTCTAAATTTGTACAGGTTGAATGGTTTACACATGATATGTTGGCCTCATTTAGGGGGCTTGTTCGTTTGATTCGCAATAGGGCCCTGGCCTAATTCCTAGGTGGAATGATTCAGTAATTTATACTAATCTTGAGGAGCTAGAATGGTTTCTGATGCAATTTTAAGAAACCGAACGACCCCTTAAACTTTTTCAATCATCAAGGATACTCAAGGCCTTTAATTTGCACAGTCAAAATTTAAGTTCTCTTCGTCGACGTGTGCTTTTTTGCGCGATTTTGGTGGCGCCCGAGGCTGTGGATGACAGGTGGACGAGGACATATAGCGAAGCAGCCACATGTCCACATGAGATAGATACCGCTGCTGGCCAACCAGAATCGAGTCGTCAAACAGGGACCGAACAAATCTTTGGATGCATCGTGCAGGCTCTGGATGGAGTGCTTGTTTATTTATGTATCGGTTTATTTTTCAAGTGTTTAAGCCAAGCCACTTATCCATGGTGCTGTTATAAGTTCGTGACAGCTTCTCCGGGGTTGATGGAAAACCGTTTGACTGACAAGAGCATGCCCAAGCCCAACCAATGGCAGGCAGTTCGCCCTCCCCACCCCCCCCCCCCCCCACCCCACCCCACCCACCCACCCACACACACACACATCTTAGGCAATCCCACTAGCCTAATCACCTTTTTTTTCGATAGTGACTAGCCTAATCACCTTTCACCTAACATTACAACAATATATAGTATGCTATTGGTAAAAGCGGTAATTAACAACCATAGATCCTCACGGCTGGAGAGGATATAATGAGAATTTCTTTCTCCATGCATGATGGGGGAGCTCGTTGAACGATCCAACTGCGCACTGCTAGTAGTAGTGGATAACAGCTCTGCAATAGATACACATGGATCTTAGAAAAATATGTGGACTTTTTACTGAATAATATGCAATGGTCTAACACCGTTGGAGCGGCTCTTTGGAGCACCATTAGAGCTGCTCTTTGGTGGGGCCGGTGGGTCGGAGGCTGTAGCCCGGCCGTGGATGACAAGTGGGCGTTAGGCGAGGACAGAAATTGAGGAGTGCTTGAGGTCTGGATCTCGCTGGCCTTTGAAAGAGCGTCGAGGCACCAGAAGGCGGCTGCGTAGGCGTAGGCGAACAGGATGGTGAGCGTGGTTTGGGAAACCATGGCACGGGTGTGGTGGCGATCGCTGCTCTTTTGGATGGATGGGAGAGGACGAAGAACTGAAGAAGAATAGGGAAGGGAGATAGTAGTTTTGGAGTGGTCAAACACGGGGAGAAACAAACGCAACAAAAGAGACGACGAGAGGATGAGAAAGCGAAGCGCGAGCATGAGCGGTGACACCTGGCATGTTTCCGCCACAAAAAATCTTGTGGCAAGGCAGAGCCAAAACTCGGATGAGCGCATCAATCAACATATACAAAGCAGTAAAACCCAAACCAAGGGATAAATAGAGAGCCAACCACAGTCACATAAAGCGAAACTTCACACTCGTAAACTTTATTTACCAGAACGCGCTTGTGAAATGGAACCACTGATCCATCGTGGCGTGTGGCTGAGAAAATTCGTGCCAATTCCTTCCTTGTCTAAGTCCACGCCTTGCCCCACAACCCCATGTTCCCCCCGGGGTAAGGTAAGGTATATAAACATACAAAGGAAAAAGTCTACGTAACTCCAAACTATTCAAGCGGACTACTCCATCCTTCAAACTATAAAATCGGATTTTCTATCCCATGAACTTTTCAAAACTGGTCAAATAACCCCTAAACGGTGGTTTTGCTACAGTGACAGTGGTTTTATCTTTTTCCTTTTTATTTATTTTCGCCGAATCTTTGAAAAATCATAATAAATCACAAAAAAATCATAAAATAGAAAATCTAATTTTGTTGGACTCTATATGAGTAGATCTACACAGTGAACATATAATATGGTATGCATTAGTACAAAGTTTTTGCTGTAGCTTTAGATATATGTTTTTCTGTAATTAATTAGAATAATTCATAGCTGCAGCTTCTATGGTTCAATTGTGATGAAATTTTTTATGGTGGGCTAATTATTGTATGCTTGAACTATAGTAAAAATTTCATACTCATTGAATTATGTATAACTTAGTTACAGATAAAGCATAGATTTAACAAACATAAACCTAAATAAATCTATAACTAAATTATACATGATCCAATGAGTATTAAATTTTTACTGTAGTTCAAGCATACAATAATTAGCCCACCATAAAAATTTCACCACAATTGGACCATAGAAGCCGCAACTATGAATTATTCGAAAAACATACATATAAAGCTACAGCAAAAACTTTGTATTAAAGCATACCATATTATATGTTTTTTAGGGAAGCCACCAGGCGCACTTTATTGATTTAAAAATAGTGTTACATCGTTCACCAGGGCTTCAAGTACGAAGCTAGGGGGTTCATATCATATTATATATTCGCTATGTATATCTACTCATGTGGAGTCTAACAAAATTGGATTTTCTATTTTATGATTTTTCTGTGATTTACTATAATTTTTCAAAGATTCAGCGAAATAAATAAAAAAGGAAAAGACAAAACCACAGTCACTGTAGCAAAACCACAGTCCAAAACCGCTTAAAGGGTTATTTGACCGGTTTTAGAAAGTTCAAGGGATAGAAAATTCGGTTTTATAGCTTAGGGGTGAAGTAGTCCACCTTAAATAGTTGGGGAGTTATGTAGACATTTTCCAATATACAAATCAGTTCTTCTTTTGGAGGAGAAACTGCTTGTAAGATACTACATATAAATAGCATATAAATATACAAAACAGTTCACCTGAGATCGCCCTGTTCGTTTGGGCTGGTTTGGCTTAAAAGCCATGGCTGAAAGTACTATTTGTTGGTTTGGCGTGAGAGAAAAATATTATTCGTTGGCTGATAAACCATGGCTTATAAGCCAAATACGACCAAACGAACAGGTTGAATAATGATTTGATGTCACTAGTCTAATCATTTTTTTTCAATCAATGAAGACTACGTCAAGGCCTTTGCACAATCAAAATTTAAGCTATCTTCGCCGACGTGTGCTTTTCTGCGCGATTTTGGTTAATTGGGCCGTGGATGACAAGTGGGCGAGGACAGAGAGCGAAGCAGCCACGTGCATGCCCACGTGAGATACTTGTGCTCGCCAACAAAAATCCGAGTCCTACAAATCTTTGGATGCATCGTGCAGCCTCTGAAATCAACACTGGAGTGCCTGTGTAGCGGGTTTTTTTCCCCAATTGTGTAAGCCAAGCCACTTGTGCTGTTATAAGTAATTTACATTTTCTCCAGCATCCCTAAACCCGCATGTCCCCGGCCGGGGTTGATGGAAAAGAGGATGCCCAAGCCCAACCTGTGGCACGCAATTCTTCCCCCACCACAGACTTCTTACCCAATCCAACTAGCCAAATCACCTTTCATCTCATCACCTGACATTATACGTACTCCGTAATATATGATATTAGTAAAAGTGGTAAGCATCAACCATAAATGCGATTACTTTAGTTCTGAATCACAATTCATGTAAAGTTATCTGCTGTACTACTTTTCGCACAACGAACAACGATACGCGATCTGCCACCATTTTCAGACACTGCGGTCAAAAGCTGGCCACGCCAACAATCGCCGGCCGGAGACGAGCGGCGGGAGAGTGCGCGTGTCGAAAGAGAGAGAATCCAAGCAAAGACTTCTCGGAGCTCAAATCCATTCAAACACGGAACCCCTCGGGACGCCAATGCGCCGAGCAGGTTCCAGGAAATTTCGTCGGAAAATTTAAAGGCATTTCGAAAGCAACACTTGTCGGCCAGCCTCACCAATGCAGCCATGCTTCTCCAAATCTCCGTCGTTGGATCTTGGTGGGTGACTGGTGGGAGTCACGGAGACGCATCATCGACCGTGCTGATTCTATCAGCCGTTTCTTTTCTTTTTCTTTTTTGGGGGTGTTATAGGTGCGTGTTAGGTGTCTGTTCGCTCGGTTGGCACTCTATATAAACCACCAACCGCAAAGCAATCGTCCATGGCGCTAGAGCATGCATGGCATCAACTCCAGCTACGGCAGGTGCACCATGGACATCGAGTCTGCATCATCGAGGATCGCGGTCGTTTCAGTTCATGGGATGGGAGTGTTATTGGAGACCCGCGAAGTGCAAGGCATGAGCAACGATCAGTACGTACTCAGCGCGCAACATGGAGGAAGGACTCTGAAGGCTGAAGCGATGGTCATGGAACAGGGGTCAGCTTGTGGAGC